TTATAACACGTTTAAATTTGTGTCTCAAGGTGGCATTTTTATTCACAGCCTCCAGTAGCAGATTTTGTTTTTGATCAATAGAAATGCCATGCTGCCTGCTCCTAGCCTTGTTTACATTGTGCTGTGGAAGTGATCGTTATCGTTATCATTTCTATTATTAGTTTGGAAGTTCAGTTTCTCCATCAGCGTTGTTTTGGATCCAGGGAGAAATACACTCTTTCAGCACTTAAATTCCCACATTCAGGTGAATATCCACTAGACACCAGCAAGAGTCTTTCACCAAATGAACGTTTGTTCCTTCCCGGTTTCCAAGTAAATTCAACATTTTCATATTACTTCCCCTAATTTATTTTTAATCATATCTTTGATTTCACAATAATATTTTAAAATACTATTTTATATGATTTTTTGAAACTACCTAAACTGTGCATCCTTTTGCTGCCACCATAGCTGCTAAAAGAAGGACATTAAAGCAATTTTCATTTGTTTTTATGTAAACAGTGGAGGACAAGGGTGACGTCAGCTGAGAGTAAAACGCGTCCTTCCCTCTTCACACCTCTTTCCCCCCAAACCTCCCCCTCCCCCTGGACCATCAGGTATCAGGACTAAGCTTCCACATTTGCTCTGAGATTCTCCCTCCAGAACAAAAGCTTTCACTGGCCCGCCATTTACGACGAGATCAAATTCAGATTCCTCACTCCCACATCAGGACCCTAGCAAGCCTTCCTAGCATTGGTGTCCACTTGGCCCTGCTGTGAGTTTTCTGTTCTGACAGAAGTGATCTGCTCCTGACACTCAGCCAAGCTTCTCAACTTGGCTTATGCTGATCCCACTGCCTGATATTCTTTTCCCCTAAACATGTCATTCCTACCCGCCTGTCTCTATAGCTATACCTACCCGCCTGTCTCTGTCAGTTCAGGCTACTATAACAACAGATATTTAGTTCTCACGGTTCCAGAGGCTGGAAGCTAGGATGCCAACACGGTCGGGTTCTGGTGGGGCTTTACAGACAGCTGCCTTCTCACTGGGTCTTCGTGCCACAGAAGGGGCAAGGGAGCTCTCTGGGGTCTCTTTTATGAGGACACTAATCCCATCATGAGGGGCTCCACCCTCATGACCTAATCACCTCCCAAAGACCCTACCCCTTAATACCATCACCTTAGGGGTTAGGATTTAACATATGAATTTTGAGAGGGCACAAAAACTCAGACCACAGCACCACCCCTTCTGAGCCTTCTCTGTGGGGTGCCAGCACACTTTTCAGAGTGGAAGGGGTCCCTCTGAGACAGCAGGTGTACTTCCGAATTGCCTTTGTTACCGAAAGTTCAGTCTCTGCACTTGTCGCCAATCCAAATAGCGAGAAGAAAGTTTCGGGTGAAAAAGAAAATCAGCTTTCATTTTCTTTACCAGATAAAGGGTGAGCTCATAGCAGGCTAGTGCCTTGGGAACTGCTGGCTCCCCGTTACAAAGCTGATAGGGGTTTTAAAAGTTTGCTACTTGGTAGGGAGGCGGAACCTGTGACCTTGCTCATTCAGTGTTTTCCCACCAGCCTGCGTTTGGCCTTGGGAGGCTCCTTGTAGAGAAGGGATGATGAGATAAGGGGATCTGCAGGTGAGTGTGCTTGGTTGCCTGCCTCGTGGTGGATGGCGGATTCTGATGCCAGGAAGCAGAGGAGTTGGAGTCTGGGAAGCTTCAGCTTCTTGACATTCTCTGGACATCAATTTCCCTCTAATAAACTTCAAGGATGCATGATTAGCCAAAACTTTACCATGAGCCCAGCATCAGGCCATGTGGGCTTGAACAGTTTGTAACTTGCGTTTGCTTGCATAGCTCAGGGCGTCAAAGGTTAAAGAAACAGATATTTCATAAGAGTGTAACTAAAGAAGGAGAGAACAGGGATGAGTGCTTTTGATTTTAAGCCCATATACGCCGAGTTCAATATAGGGGAACCGATCTCAGGGCCAGTATTAATTAAAAGCCTGTAACACCTTGACTTTATTAGAATTTGGAAGGTTATTCCGATTATTAGATTACAGTCTTTTTAAGAAAACATTTCAGTTTGCAGCAATTTTGTAGCTACCTGGCCCCAAACCGTTCTGGTCCATCTTCACTGGTGCCCATGGAGACGTCTGGTGCCGGACTAGTCACCACCACATCCTCCCAGAGCAGGGTAAGCTCTGCCCTGAGGGCTTCTGCCCAGCCCACCTGGGGAGGTGCCTGGGTGTTGGAGCCCCTCGGGCAGGCTTGATAGGTGGGACTTGGAGCATAAATATCCCAGCGTCCTTGCCCGATGGTAGGATAATTCAGAGATGTGTCCCACAGTGTCTCCCAGAGAGGCCCCAGGAACTGAGTGCAGTTGCCCCCCAGTAATCCACTCAGTCACAACGTCACTTGGTTTCTTCCCTTTCTTGTCTCTATTTTCCACTCTCCTGATGGTGTTGCCATGACTCCCTCCCAAATACTTGTATCAGGTTCTCATTCTAGGGAAACCTAACCTAAAGTAGTTTCTAAAGTACCTAAAATCTCATCTTTACAATAGAGACACTTAGAGATACTAAACTTCCTGTGTGTCTTCTGACCATTATTGGACAGTTCCTGCGCTAACGATTCACATATCTCTGGTCCCTGGTCTCACGCAAAGAGAGAAGAACATGGAACAAATTGGCAGAAGACCTAGGATCTAATGTCTGTTACCCCGACGCATTAGCCCCGTGTTCTCAACAAGTCACTCGCCCTCTCTTGATCCGAGAATGACTTCCATGATTCCTTCCCAGAGTTGCTGGAAGTAGTAACGAAAGCAAAATTACTCTCAAAATAGAAAATGTAACCTATTACTAGCAGCTTGTAGAAGGCAGCTGGAAAGCAAGGTTGAGATGAGATCAAGGACAGGCCAAAGCCCAATGTCCACCTTGCGTCTTATGCTATGACACTGGAGGGCCATCTCTTTGCCAGGAAAGATCTTTTATGAAATGTCTGCCTTTGGGCTTCTTTGATTTTTATATTCAATAATAATGGCTGTTTTCATATACCTCCTGATGAACAAAACCATAAAGAAATTTAGTACTTGGGATGAATTTCTCTTACCTAGCCAAACTTGACTTCTCTAAAATATTAATCTATTATCTGAGGTCATTCCCAATTAATATTAAAGAGATGTGAATTTAGTAAAATTAATTTGTTGATTCCAAATATCACAAATGTCAGATACTTTTCTCTCTGACTTACAATTCCAAATATCACAAACTTCACATAGGTCTCTCTCCAAGTTACAGTTCCCGGAAGATTCAGGAGACACGAAGGAACATTCAGAAATCAAAGGCCACTCCCAGACACAGATACGAAATGACCGCCCATGTTATTTCATGTCCCTGCAACGATCTTCACTGTTTTCTTTTCCTTCTCTCAGCTTTTGTTCCAACATGGCGGAAAAGTGAGGGTTGGCGGAGTAAGTAATACATCATGCAGAGTCATCATTTATCTGTGGGATCTCTTACCATTCATATTTAATGTAGCCATACTTGACTTTTAAGGGTGTTTTTAATACAGGAGCCCAGCAACTCCCTTTTCAGTGACATGCCTGGAATGCACTGTGTACAAGAGCCTTGCTCATTCTTTGTGTTGACCACACATACATTTTAACTGTTGAGCTACACCGAGCACCAGCTGTTATGCTTGGTTCCTTCCCTCTTCTGCCAAACCTCTGCAACAAAGGGGGTCTCCATTAGACTCTGCATTCAACTCCTCACCAGGGACAGAACCACTTACAAAATTTCTGGCAAAATATCTACAAAAGCCAAAATATATTACCTAGTGGACATTTTCTCCCGTCTTTTTGGAGCAGAGATGCCCACCGATGGAAGAATGGTTTAGGGTAACCATTACCTGGAAGGGAGTGAGAGGGATTGATACTGAATCTTCCGTCTTCCCTAACACCTGATTATAGTTTGTTAGTTTTCAGTGCTTTTTTCCCTTTTTGCCTTCTTATAAAGCATTTACTAAAGTGTTAACATACTTCAAGAATTCATCAGTTTTATCACTTCAAGGTTCAGGTCAGCCTTGTGATGTAACAGATAATACATTTATGTCTGGCAGTGGAGATATCTGATTACATGACAGCAATTTGACAGAGAAACTTCCAATCTGAAATATGGTTTTGTAACGTGTTGGCTGGTTTCAGCCTGTGTGCCTTCTTTTCTTCAGCTTTTATCCTGTACTACAAAGGCTCTGTAACTGGGACACGGTTAGCAAGACTCAAGGTAAGAAAACCCATGATCTCTCTGTGTACAAATATAACATGGTTCTGATTTGTAATTCAAAGAACTGAGATAGAATTTAAAATGTTAATATTTAAATTAAAATGTTAATCCACTGATGTCTCAAATTCCATCAGCTATAGAGAACATCATCTTCTACTCAAAAACCAAAACACCATTTATTTAATCCACATCAGAGTTCTCTGACTTAATTTCTGGAATAATGGCTACTCATTTTCCATTTGTCTTCTGTGGCAAAGACTTAGCTCTCTGTTCATGGGATGCTGCCTAGCTGTCATGGTCTTGCTCAAGACTCACCTCCTCCTTGAAGGTGTCCAGAATCCCTCCAGGTCATGTCTCATTTGCCATCTGGTTGCTATGATCACTCATGGAGAAGGTAGCAATTACTCAAGGATGACATGCACTGTTATTTCCCACTTCCTTTTGCATGCTGTGACCCACTGGCACCAAATAGTCCTAGAGTTTAGTTCTTGGTGTGGCTTACAAATTATATTTTGTTTCACAAAGCCTACTAAAGAACTGAGTCTATAAGTAAATACTCAATATTTCTGTTGATTAGTTTCTTTTATGCATCAGAACCTTGATACACTTAAGAGATAGCCCTACAAAAAGATCATTTTAATGTAGTAGGGGAGGCAAAGTTTCACCTCTACTCTCAGAGGGTTCTCACCTGGGCCTGAGAATTAAACTGACGTAAGACAGATAGACAAGAGAAAAGCACACAGCTTCATTTAATGTAAGCTTTACTGATGTGGGAGCGCCCCGCAGTAATGAAGACCTCAAGAAGTGGCAAAATCTAAATGCTTTTATGCTAGGTTGAACAGAGATAGCAGTTGTGGAAAAGTAACTAAAATACATGAGGAGGCCGAAGGAAGATGGAGATTATTTTAACAGCTCTGTTGTGCAGAATTCTCTCCACTTCAACTTCCCATCCTTGATGACAAGAAGTTACTTTCCTCCGGAGGCACAGGGAGGTCATCTTCCATGTGGGGTCTTGTCTCCCGCTTCCAGGAAGGAGAAGGAAGGTCAGAGCACCCTTCTTGCTCTTGCTTTTTTTTTTTTTTTTAAGTGCCTTTAGCCAAAATTATCCTTATGCCAAAGTGGCATAGTTTGGCGTGGCATATTCTGCCACCCTTCGGTAGTCTACTGAAAATAAAAAGCAGAGAAGGTGAGAGCACATCAGATACTCTTCTGTGCCTTTTTTGTGTCTTATTCACTTTTTGTCACTGAGTATGCCGTAATCTTCATGTATACTGCCTCTTGTCATCCCGCCTCGATTTGGGTTGAGCTAATTGAATTCTGACCAGTACATTTGATTTGCTCTGGACCTGAAAGTTCATTCACTTTGTACTCAAGGACAATTTGGAGACCCTTCGGTCTGAATACTGAGGGTCGTCATCAAGAACACTGAACCCCTGGCAAATTTCTGACAGGATATCAGGAATTAGGACAAATATCCATGCCTGAGGCTCTGCCTTGATCATATATCTGGCCCCCAGTTTGCTCTGGAGCAGGAGCCTGAAAAGCTCTCTCCAGGGATCTGGGAGCCAATCCTTTCAGGACGCCGCCTTCCCTGAGGCCACTATGAGATCTGCTGGATCCCAGGGCTGCTGTCTGCAAGCCCGGGATGGAGGCGCTGCATGGCGTGGTCCTTCTGACCACGTGTGGTCTCCCTGGCCAGCCTGCGCCCATTGGTTGTTGCTAGACCTGCCCTGTCAGACTCATCTTGCCTCCAGAAGATTTCTTCTTCACTTGTAGGACTAAACTAACAGCTTGGCTGCTGTGTCCTGCAGAGGATTGTGATTCTCCATCTGTGTCTGATTGCTTGAGTAGACAAACACAGAGAGCTGGGCTCCCTAAGCACAACTTGGGAACAAGCATAACATTTCCAAAATCACAGCACCCCATGTCTTGCTTTGTCACCTGGCCACATAGTAGGTCTTCTTGTGGGTGTGAAGAGTAAGAGGTGAGCAGTGAACAGGCTGTCTTCCTCTGTCATGATCACTCCTGGCTCTGTTATTTCATAGCTGTTTGGTGGCATACAATCAATCACCCTCTCTGGTGCTAATTCTCCTGATGCCTATTAATCCTTATTTTATGGGATAGCTGTGGAGAGTAAACAAGATAAACTATATGAATCATTTAGTACAAAATCTGCCATACAATAAGCCCTCAAATCTCAGTTTTCTTCCTTAAAAAAGTAGCTATACAAAGTAACTGGGTTCAGTTTTAAGGATAGCATTGTAATGATGAGTTTGTTTTGTATTTTCCTTTAAATTAATATGTATTTATTATTTATGTTTTACAGTTATATTGCAGTGTAATTGATATTCCTTAACTGCATATATTTTAAATGTGAAATCATCCTCACAATCAAGGTAATGAGCATGTCTGGCTCCCGCTGATTCCTTTGTGCCCGTTTGTAATGCCTCCCATGCATCCTTCCTTGCGCCCCTTGCCCACCCATCTTCAGATAACCACTGTTCTGCTTTCTGTCACTTTAGATTAGCTTGCATTTTGCATTTTTATACATGGAATTATATGCATGGAATTTTTTTTTGGCTCACTTTTTTCATTCAGTATAATTATTTTGAGATTCATTTATTTGGTTGCATGGAGCAATGATTCATTTATTTTCATTTCTAAGTAGGATTCATTTTATGGACATACAATTTATTTATGCTTTAATCTATTGATGGACACTTGGGTGGCTTACAGGTTTAGCTTCCACAAATAAACGTGTCATGAATATTTGTATATCTAAATGTAAGAGCAAAAAGTATAAAACACTCTGAAAGAAAACGTAAGGGAGAATTAGTGACCTATGGTTTGGCAAATATTTCTTAACTATGAAATAAAAAGCAAAAACCATAAAAGAAAACAGAAAAATGAAGTGTACTTATCAAAATTAAAAACTTTTGCTCTTCAGGTGGCAGTATTTAAAAAATGAAAAGTTAAGCCACACACTAGAAGAAAATATGTGTGAAATATATGTCCAAGAGAAAATTTGTATCTAGAATATATAAAGACTGCTTACAACTCAATAACAAGAAGACGGCAAATTTGACCAAAATAAATAAGCAAAGATTTGAACAGACCCTTCACCAAAGATGATATATGGATGACTAATTAACAAGTGAAAAAATGCTCAGTATATTTCATTGTTACAGAAATACAAATTAAAACCACAATAAGGTACCCCTAAATACCCACTAGAATGGCTAAAATTAGAAAGAGACTACACCACATGTTGCTGAAGATGTGAGCGATTGCAGCTCTCCTTTGATGCTGGTGGGCATGTAAAATGGTGCATCTGCCTTGGAAAACAGTTGGCAATTTCCTGGAAGTCAAATGTAAATGTGTAAATATCACAAAGCCATTCCATTCTTAGGCACTTACCCAAGAGAAATGAAAGCATATGTCCATACCAAGACTTCTGGCTTTAAGTTAAAAGAAGATAAACTGAGCTCAATATATAGAGTTCAACTTAAAAGAAAATAAACCAAGCTCAATCTATAGAAACTGATATCTCGGAGAGTGATTGAAGCTTTGTAATAGAGACCATTACCTCAAAGGATCATTTAAAATTCTATAACAAGAGAACAACTTGAGGTCCTTTTCATTTTCATTGGTTATTTTTTAAAACATGGGGGAAATCAAAAGATATTAGAAATTATGGTGTAAAGGGAAGAAGTGATACAGAAACATAGGAAAAAAAAATCCCAAAAATGCTATCCAGCAGTAAGAAATAAATTTGAGAAAGATATATGCTAATAAAATCACAAATAAATAAAAGAATTTTAAAACAAATATACTAAACACATAGTATTATTCCACTTGATATTCCTAAAATAGTCAGTTTTCAGATACATTTCAAGGGAGCAAAATGCTATAGTAGAGTAAGAATTAGATGGCAAAATGAGGTCTGGGCTTTAGGTACAGGTGTGTGACCCTGGGCCTTCCTAGCATTTGCATTGATCTTAGGCTTATATTAGCCCTAGGGTGTTGTCTACCTGTAAAATAATGATTTTCCAATGAACTAGTGCTCTCATTTGTAAAGCCTACCATTTCAGAGATCATGTTTCTAAGGAGTTAAATGTTGTTGTCATCGGTACTGTTTCTGTCATCATAACATCATTGCTCCCACCAAATTAAGGAAAACTTAATTTGTGTTGTCACTGATGTATGGAACGGCCATTTTAAAGGCAATCTTAAATGCATAATTGCTTTATAAAATAGTCCTCATGATATATAAAAATAAATAAACTCTAATTTGGTGTATGCTTTTAGAATTTGGATAAGGTGTGTTAATTCAAGTTAACAATGGATATTATATAAAATGTACAAATGGGCAAATCCCTTTATTTGTTTTCAGTCATTTGTGTAATTCACACTCCAACTGACAGCACAAAATAAACTATTCTAGAAGTATGAAATCTTTGTCCAATAATTTCCCCCATATGTTTCTGGAAAATAAATAATTGGAGCTTAAGAGAAATGCTCTCTCTTCTCTCATTTCAAAAGAACAACGACCTAGTATCCTTTTCTACTCTTTAAAAAATTCTTCACATCATAGATCAAGTCACTTACATTTGAAGGAAGCCAATATTAATATTTCCTTTTCATCATATAGTGCTTATAAAGTAGTTCAAACGATTTCCACACATCTGTAACTTAGATGTAGATTACCACGTCCTGTAAAGACGTAATTCTAACATTCTTGTGCTTTAACATTTCTCCAAAGGACTGTCAACTGTTTGGCCTAAATCATCCGACGAATCAGCCAATGACGTCAGCCCGAGTCAATGTTCAAAGAAGTAAAAATAAGACCGCTGTTTAACAGCAAGTCCAGCAGAAGTGGGTAAACCCTCAGCCATCTCAGTTGTTTCTTTAAAAAACTCCCCTAAGCAATCAGAAATTTAGACAAACAACCTTAGGCATAATTTCTTTTTCATTAACAAAAATATGCCAGGATATATGACATGCTATCTCAGGTAAACAGAAGTAAAAATTGTAAGGCAGGTAAATTTTCTAATTTTCTATCCCTGTCATAACTCTTCTTTCAAACAGACCCAGTTTTCATCAACCCTGGCAATTATACCTTAAAACCATCCTTCCTGACTGGAAAACAATAGAACAAAACAAAACACAAACGTTAATTTATCTGAGTTTCCGTTCTTTTTATATAAAAAGAAAAAATAAATATGCATTAAACTCATGTAGGTATAGTAGGAAGAATTTCTTTACCTAAAAGTAATACCTGCTTGAATATTTACAATACATTGAATGTAAGCATTTGCTCTACTTTTTTATAAGAGGGACCAGCCTCCATTTTTTCCCATTGCTTCCAACAGCATTCTTTGCCAGCATTTAGTATTCCCATTCGGCAGTAATAATCTTTCTAAGTTTGACAAGATTTAAGCAATTTCAAATTGTTTTCAAGGCTCACTTGCAATTCATGTTTTAAATTGTGGTATATGAAGCATGTAAAACACTTGTTTCAATGAGAACATGATGCCTGCACTTAGTATTTACACAATATGAAATAAATCATGTCAGAATTAATAAGGTCTAATTCTATTAATGTCAGAAAAGATTAACGTAGGTTCTCTCTTCTAAGTAGACTTACCCGGGACTCTTTGAATTATTCTTGACAGTGTTAAAATTAGACTAAGCCTACAAATAAAATAGGCTGGCAAATAAATTGAAGTAATAAATTAAGACATTGTGTAAATAAAGGTGTCTATGTTAGAAGCAGCAGATTTGATGGAAAATCCTTAGTAGATTTGTCATCAACAACACATTTATTAGTATCTCTCCTGATGATTCTAGTTGTCTCTGAATTGAGTTTGTTTCCTTTGTGTGTTTTTATTAAATGCAATTTTCATATTTGGATGTAAAAAAGTTAATGATAATTGAGAGGCTATACCAAAGCAAATGAGGATGATTTGATGCTATAGCGAAAGAGGTCTTGCTTGTCGGGTTGATTAGCTTGATCAGAGGCAGCAAAAATGTATATCTCAGCCTCATGGGTTTGTACATTCAGAGTCAGCGCAGTCAGTGGTTGACTTGTTATCTTTTTTATCTCTACTTTTGTTTACTTGTACAAATTAGTACTGTACTCATGGGGATATGTTGTTACAAGAAGTGGGAAAACTAAGATGGGTTTCATTTCACCTTTCACTGAACTTTTTCGATCTATCCGTGAAAAAGCATTGCTTTCCTATAAAAAAGTTATTTTAAAATATGGTAGTATTTCAACTGGTAGTAAATGATATTATTCTTCTATTTCATTAAGAGAAATACAGATCAAGTTGAGGGGACTGAAAAGAATGAGGGAAAGTGGTCTAAAATAATGTAGAAACACATAACAATATGAACTTACAACAGCAAGTTCTTAATGGGAAAAGTACTTGACCAAGGACATTATGGATATATACATATTATTTATTATGAATTTATATAATTATGCATATATACTATTTAAAGCTTAGGGTATATGGCATTTATTTAAATTCTCTGAAGAATTTTGTGTAAAATTTATCATAATCCAAAGAACAAAACTTAGTTAACTCAAAGAAGAAAATTTTGCTCTGATGATGAAATAGCAGTAAGTCATGTTTTTCTTTTCCCCTGAAGAACATTGTTTGGAGACCGTGGGTTGATACATGGCTTCAAACGTTCAGTTGGAAGAAAGAAAATGGGAAATAAGTACGTTATCATTGCAAACTGTCTGCAGAAGTTGCCTGTAGTTTGTGTAATCTCATGATACATCTAGAACATGAAATATCCCGGGAGGGTTCAAATAACACTTTGTGGGAAATGTGAGGGGAGCCAGAGAAAGCCTCTTCTCCACGGAGGGCTGGTGCCGGGACCCTCGGATTGAATTAAGGTCTGTCAAACATTCACTCTCAGCACAGCGCTGTTCCAAGGACTATGGGGACATGGAAGGTATACTGGGCAGTATCATAGTCCTCACTAAATTTACAAACTGATATAAGAGGCAAGATTTATCATATAAAAATTACTGTCGAAAGTTATTAAAATGACTAAAATAATCCAGCGCTAAGTATGAGGTGCTGAGGACAGTTGCAGTAGGGAATTTC